GATTCTGGCTTTGATTTCCTCACCTGCAGCGCCTCACGTTCCAACGTTGCTTCTCTAGGAGGTTAGTCAGACACGTTAGCTGAACGACTTCTAGGTTATTTCTTTGTCAGATTTAACCAGAAACAACAGCTGTGATTGTTTTGTGTGATCACTACTACTACTATACCTACGCTTTAGCCATACAACTTGTTGACTGCTTAGACTGACGCAGGTAAATTGGTAAATGGACTGCTTTTGACGCGGCTAGCACTATTCCACCAGTGAATGGATTAACATAATACCGAGGAATATATATATATATATATATATAACATGGACTGGATTATGCTCGAAACTCTGAGGACCGATAAAACAGCAATATGTTGGGACAAATAGAAGACTGTAGTATATCTGGATTTCACGGATGACTGGTGTCTAATTTTGTACAAACGCGTTGACTTACAGTCGGTGATCGAAGAAGAAGAGGAAGCAGCACATCGGAGGTACGAATTCAAGTGAACATAGATAAGATGGTGGTCGAGATAATGAATCCCTACCACCGCCAATACCAAAAGCAACAACAATGACACTATGTGCCAAACACCAACCACTCTTAATCAAAGAAATCAGGAAGAAGTTAATTCTTTCACCTATCTGGCCATGCAACATGGTTTGAACTACGCGCAGCAATGTCAAAACGAGGCAAGATTTGGAAGGAAACAGAGTCCTTCATCACTCCGAAATCAGTTTCGAAATCGTCTGAACTCCGCTGGTGTAGAGGAGAAAATCTGGGGAATAATGCAACCGAGAACCTATTTCTAAGTCGAACAATATCGAGATGGGTGTAACAAACGTCACTGAAGAGACCGCAGAATGATATCGCTCTCTATTCTATCCAAAAGTCTCTCATCCCTCAGTCCCCCCCATTTCATCATCAACCAACTCGTCGATTCCCATTCGTGCTCCACAGATTATCAATAGAGGATTGCAAAGAAAGCCAATTCGCCTGATGTCTGATTAATTATTTAATTTGAGAACTGTTCAGTACCCGAAGACAGAAAATATACTCCGACAACATTCAAGTAAACTGATGATAATGAATATGGAAGGTTTTGGTAGCTACAGTATAACAGATACTGATTCAAGCAGTATAAAGGATACTAAATAGCTTTCCTCTTGGCGTAAACAACTTTATGCGTTGGCTGTGATAAATTCGTGAGTGGTTTTTCCCACGACAGGGAAGTAATCATAAATTAGTGAGTATATTATGAGCAGCATTGTATTGTTGTGTAAAAGAAAAGTGAACTGACTGACCTAGTTTGTCTTGAACTTTCTTGAGAAAGATAACAAAAGAATAAACAGGAATGTGTTTGTGTGGCATTAATTTGTTAGGCAGCACACAGGTATACGTGCCAAAACTCTGAAAAGAATGTGAATGCGTGAAATCACGCAATGCAACTTGTTTCGTATTGTTTAACTTCAAACGAAAGTTTATGAACTTAGTTAAGAAAAACTGTGATCTGTTATCCTCCTAAGGAAAACGTTTGCACAGAATTATAATGCTGATACTTCTGAGATAATAGTAAAGATGGGAACTTTAGTTATTCCCACTTCCTTGGATAATGAGTTATTTACCTAACTCGACGAAAAACTTTGCGCGTTCCCTGAGTAGAACCAGTTTCAAATAGTACTAAATCGGCAGTGCACTGAGCACACACTGACGAAATACGAAGGGAACATAGGTTGCATGAATTTGGCGATACATTACTTCAGAAACGGTTACCAAGTGTAAACGTGACTTTGTTGAGTATCTTAGCTATCAGAAGAGTCACATAGTTTGATCATATCACTCTGCTACATACAAGATTCACATATTTTACCAGGTCTGTATGATGAATTAATTGGCAGTAACCGGCTAACAGCTAAACAGAATAAAAGACTCGGAGGACAGAAGTAAGAAATTTGTATCTCACAGAATTTTCATGATAAGAGCGAGTAAGCGGCAGATGATGATAGCGGATATTTACATAGTTCATCAATGCAGACAGTTGCTCACCACATTCACTGTACTTCAAATTTTGCCTGGTTGATTTACCATACTGTCGGATCTTCGAATTGGTTCAGTATTGCTATTTTCATTTACATCAATCCGCATGTATTTTGATTTAGTCTACAGAATGAAAATAATAATCGAGATTATTGCAAATACCATTCATGTCAGATAACTGATTATTTCTAAGCTAAGTAAGGTGTTCCGTGGGAACCGAATGATATTCTTGGTCCAAAACTGGTAACAGGGGATTCGACATTCTACAGCAGAATCACTATGAATGTTAGGAGATCACTTCCGCTACGGCAATGCAGATCACATCAAGTCGTAATTACTAGAGGTTTTTGAAGAATTTTAAATTTCAAGACTTTTAAGACAAAACTTTCATGAGTATTTGAGTGCTCTGCCTTGCGATATGAGACAGTTTATCCTGGCTTGTAGTTCTATGGCCTATCCTACTCATTCAGTGACTGAAGACGACATAAATCTGCGCGGGGATAACATCAGGCAGTATTTCACAGTCAATCGTTTTCATTTTTATCAGTGAAGTGGTTAGTATGATTGGTAACTCATGCAATCACTAGGAATTCCTTCTCCACTGGAAATCGTTTCCACGGCTTTTAGACTAAGTTTTCCACTGATACTGTCGATAGATATGGAAAAAAATTCGCAATAGCTGGTGCATAATGCGACCAGTCAGCATGAATATATGCACCACTATGTTTGACAAGAGGCAGCCGGTCAAATTTACAGTCACATTTCATAACATACTCTTTGATCTTCTCCTGTTACCTAACAACAACACTGCCCCACGAAATTAGACGTACTAGTGAACAGAATAGTGAACAGAATGAAAACTATCTATAAGAGACCTTATAATCGGTGGAGTAATAATTCTATGATTCAGATATTGAATGTTTAAGAATTATGAAAATCGCTTGTCTTCAGCTAGAGAAATCAGGAACTATCAGCTAACAGTGAATAGTCCAACCATTTCACTGGCATCATTAGGCCATCGTCTATTCTGAGTGTATTCTAGAGGCAGAACTCTTAAAGCAAGCAAGTGTCGAACTAGCGGACAATCACTATCAGTGGCGGAGCTCACAAACGATGAGTAGCTCTCTAATGAATAGGATATCTCCCCGTTACGCTTGTGTTCAGCAGTGCAGTCTTGTGCATGGATTTCTGAAATCCATCTTTGAATCACAGCCACATTCTCGAATCAAGTTTATATATCATGAACTTGTATTAATTTGAAGAAACATCGAGAAAGCTTCACTATGTAGAAACGTCACAGTCACCCCTGGGATATTGTCACACTATTATTTCCACACAAATCGTCAACTGGAAACACTGTCACCAAAAGTAGATAAGAAATGAATGAAATTAATAAACGATCTAGAGAACGATTGCGGTCTAGCAAACCATGATGTCAGGTACGAAATTTTCATTGGTGAAGGTGCTTCAACTTAAGATACCCAACTATCAGCATAACATAGAATCCACCTGAATGTAGATTCAATTTGAAAGGGTATATTTTGAACCACGTCGTTCATAAAAAAGTTTTGAGCCTCTTGCACAGTACAACTCAACTGCTTTAGGTAACACTTAAGCATGGAAGTAGTCACTATGGGCTCTTGGCACTTTTCCATCTTATTTGAATGACTTGACAACAGAAGTCCCGAAATTCGCACATGTCCAACCCGTCCAAAATGTAATGATATTACCACAGCCTGAGGCTTACAAAATGAGTTTACATGCTTCATATACGCTGTGATCAGAGTTAGATTCCATTCTTTTTCAAAGGCTCGTTTAAGTAGGTGGTTCGCATGGATACTTCGAAACCCGATGAAAAAGATCAGTCAGTCTCAACACAGACGAAGAATATTCACTGACGAGTACAGAAATATTTAAAATGGCTATCATTGTCACACCTCAAAATTATGTCGACTGCATAATTGGAAGTGTTACTCCATGACCGTTCATACTTCTAGTGGACCAGGTGATCGGCTTTAACTACACATAATACCAAGGTTAAGAAAAATCAACCTCAGACATGCTAATATCATTGCTTCATGCAACTATACGAAATGAGAGAGCTTTCCTAAATGTTGCGAAAACAACTTCAGAAAACAGATGACGAAGAATTCGACAATGATGAGCCAACATTTCTGAGACATAGTTCAAACCATCAGATAGATATTTGTTTAGATTTATAACAGATAGTTGTATGCAGACGACAAGTAATAGAATCTCCGTGCCTATTTGAAATTAGCCTACATGTAGCTACTTTCACAGTTTGATATGCATGTGGTTAATCTATCGACTAAATGTTAATCATACCCACTGAAATTTGTCCTTATGGAGAAGACATATCCAATCATCAAATAATGATAGTGTTTGGTGTTTCGTGTGCTATCACCCTTACACCCCTGCAAGCAATCACTGTATCAAAAACAAAACAACATTGTCGAATGAACTGATGCTGGGCTCAACAACCATGAATAAAATAACATAAATTTGAAATAAGATAAATCATCACAAGGATCAAAAATATCGTAAATGCGAAAAAGTGAATAAAATGCCTTCTGTTTTGTGAAGAACACTTAGTTATGGAAACTCGCATCGTACAACATTTATTCCACTGCTGACTTGCAGTAGTACGAGAAAGGCGGTTGTTGATAAGGAAAATACATTAAGAATATTTCTCTACAAGTTACGACTTCACCACAGTTTAGCTTCACAGTGACTGCCATTGCTCTTACTACCAATGTCCTTCACCAACATCAAACGAAAACTGTGTTTGTAACCTACCTATCACAAGATGAGCAATCATCTCTGTCCAATTGTCTGTGAAAATAATGGCCTAAAAATTGTCTTCACTCACCACCCACAATGTTTCTGATTGGCTGGAGACTGACAGGTTATGTTATAAAAGACGGGATGGTTAAGAAGGAAGTCACTCAGCAAGATGAAGATTGTCTGCCTGATCTGGATCGTAACGTTGGTTGTCTCTGGAAGTGTCGGTGAGTTATTGTGAACTTGATACTTTCATTTCTTGTCCCGAGCGTTTGTCAAATGTGTGAAATGCGTTGTTGTTTGAAGTGTGCTTTCGATTCACAGTCGGAAGTGAAGTGTTGTGTTGAGTATACATGCAATATGTCGTCTTTGTCAGTTGTTCAATGCGATTTTATTCCTGTAGAGAAAAATCCAAAAACGGTGGAAACGGATGTAAAATCTTCTTCCAGCAAACAATATTCGGTGTCGAAAATTCAAATGTCTCTTAACATTTTGTTTTCGAACCATACTGAGGCGATGAACACTAAACATTTTCACCTTGTCATTGAACCTAAATCAAGTGGTGTCTACGTATGTGTTATCTGTGAGAGGAAAAGGATAGTGAGGTTTCCCAAGTAAAGTGTGTATTCATGGGACCCAAAAATTAAGAATGGGGTGCAGTAATTACACATGAATAAACAAATTTTAAACCTCATAATAAGTCACTGTTAACTTCCTCCCAACACATGTTCACCGGGGTTTACATTGAGATTGTGTCGCTTGTGGTCTCCTTAACGTACTTTGTATTTATTTTATGTTCACAGTACGTCAAACAGGGGAAAGGCAAGGAAACACGAACAGTAAGTTATTCTTCTAACACCCAAGTATTATTATAAATACACTCTTATAAGGCAAGTTAAATGCATCCTTGGTTGTATTTCTCTAACTGTATCAACTACCGAATTGTATTTAAATGCACGTGAAACACACATTCATTTTTATCTGTTATGAACTTGAATGGATATAATGGGTGTGCGTGTGTTCACACAATCAGTTTCATACAATTTTATGTCTTACAGTTTATGAAACGACAGAAGCACCGGATGACTTCCGTGGTAAGTGAAATTCATAAAACTGTTATATTCTTGCAGCCTAAATCAAATACACCGTTGAAAATCTTATGAAATGAGGTCTCATTCTGTTTCACATTTATCCAGGAACAACAGCAAATTTGAACCATTAATTTCCTTGGCATCGCAGTCATTTCCATAATCATCTGAAATGAAGTTGTGATTGAAGCAAAAGGAGCAGGTTCGAAGCTCTGAGTAGAGCATACTTAGGACACCCTTTCCAATTAATCTCACCTCTGGTGAAGTATGAATCAAAGAACTTTACTTTCAGACATTAAGACACCAGAGTACAACCAGATTTTATTTACTCTATTCAATTTGTAGTGCAGCATTGCATAAATTAATTACTGGTCACTTCACTTGTAAACGTCACCAATCTGCAAATGGTATAAGCATCTGCTACATATATTTTCGCTCTGTAAAAATCGTCAATCATTCTTCGTATTTTCTTTCGAAACATTTAAGGAAATTTGGTTATCGTCACGACGCACGACGATTCGTGTAAGTTGAAGGATATTGTCTTCATAATAATATGGTAGAGAGTTTTAGAAACGACTGATTGGCTGAATAAATGACACTAGACATGTGAAACGATAGGCGTATTCATATAAATCTACTGCAGTTGTTAACATTTCGGATATGTTTACTGGTAAGAAGAATCTCACGAATAGGATTTCCAAATGGCGATGATTGTTTCCTTTAGTCAGACATCATTGTGCGTCGGTGGTACATTGGTAAGGACTCTCACCGCCATGCACATGGTCGGGGTTCGAGCCCACATGGCGCACTGATATCTATGGTCGGCCTGCAAAATTTGGGCTACCGATATCCACGCTGAAAATTCCATACTTGTACCAAAATACAGTGGAATCAAGCTGTAAATAAAAAAAATCATTGTTTACTTGAATTTATCACAAAAGGTGAAAGTTGTAGTCACGTTGTGATTACTCAGCAAATTGTGTGGTATCTCTTCAATGTGAATTGAACATGCAAGGTAGAATTTTCACGCAGATGATGATGATGATAACTTGTCACTTCACGAAGATTATCCAATCCAACCCTTAACACACAAAAATATTAACATCCTGTGAGATGAGCAGAATCCGGACTACAGAATTGTATTTCTTTATTGAGTTGACATGTGCCACTAGAAAGGTGTTTCACTTTGCAATCTGTCAACTATTGCAAATCTAACCAACATCTTTTGTTTTGATATACAGATTCACATTACTGGAGAGTTTGGTTTGATCCAGGTAAGTGGTTTCACATAGTGGTTGTTTACGCCAACTGGTGTAGTATGTCTGCTGGTCACTTTTGAAATAATTTCGAAGTAAATGCGTATCGTTTGCATATATTTCAAGGATAAACACTTTATATCATGCTGTATAACTGTTTCTGTCAATGAATTCCTTAATTTTCAGTGTTATCAGTCATGAATGGTGTCTTCCTAACAAGTGAGTTTTTTTCACCGGATTACATTACAGCTTTTTTTGTTTGAAGCAATTTTGAAGCAATCTTTCACATAAATCTCCATTACTGAAACCCAGTAACTTTGTCGTATGCATTTCTGACTTAATTGATGTATTAAATTAAGCACCACTGCACTTAGGTAAATGGCTTCACTTGTAGTTAAATAAATATCTCACTTCCCAAATTGTTTGTAAGCAAACAGATTGAGGAAGGACATGTAAATAGCTTCTCACATATACAAATGACAGAAGTGTGACTTCACTCACACCTCTGAGTTAACTTTACAGTAAAATTGTGTGGAGCAGAAGAGAATGGAGATAACTGGAGATTTATTTTCTCAGAAGACTGTTGAGTGACAACACACGCGAGGCGGGCACTAAAATGAAACTCAGATGAAGGCATGGCACGATGTACCGGGCCTACGAGAGTGACATAAGAGATATTATGTGAAGAGGAAGTTAGAGATGGTCGGTAATAACTGAGCCAACTTAACAAGATGTCATAGAACAGAAAATATGTCGAATGTCATATCGTGTATCTCAGTAACACCATAGTGCATTTGATTAAGGTTTGAATGGGATAATCAACAAATCACACAGAATATAAAATAGCACCTTCCTGACACGTCAAATATCTTCACAGTTGTCAAGAATTTCTACAACTATCAACTTACATTTTGTATGAATTTGCTTTCAGATGATAACGGGACAGAAATCCCGCGAAAGAATCCAGGTAAATGATTTGCATAAAATCTATCAATTTTCTTCTCTCCAAGTTCTTTGCATAAATAAAGTGAGTGATTTTCTGCACAGTTTGCAACTTCTATGCACATTTACAACTGTCCTTATCCTTATGACTATTTACATGTTCATGTTTATCCACTTATGTGAGTAAACCAGAGTTATGGTGTTAGTGGTCATTGGATGTGGATGAAAATCAATTAGTAGCCGCAAAAAAAAGTGTTTTACCTGCTTTACCCTTAGCAATTTTCTGTCTCTTTTTAGTGTTTATAAAGTGTCTTATTCCAATATTTGTTAATACTTAGCGGGGCTTCACAGTGTTGTCCACTGTTAAAAGACAACCGAGAACATTTTCAATAATCGCAAATGTCCTCCAACAAGGCTGTGATAGCTCTGAGTATCCTCATAAACAAAAGTCACTTTAACCATATTGCAACCAATATATATATATATATATATATATATGAGTGTGTATTTATTCTTCTCTGTGTCGAGTGAAACACAGAGTTACAAGCTTGAACTTTGTAGTTGCAGGAGTAACTGTTTTGTTTTCACGGGATGAGGTTTCCGAGCCCATACTTCAACATAATCCGCTTCCCAGATAACTACAGGCTAGGCGTGGCGAAGCATTGGACAGACCGGGAATAGAATCCTGACCACTTACTGGGTCAAGGAGCATTTAACCAATGAATTGCCAACAAGTCCTACTAAATTCTCTGTGTTTAAGGTGGCAGTGTGCATTGATGAAATCTCTGCTTTCGTCGTAATCAGCCTGACGCTAAATTTGCTGAGATCAACATTGTCAACCGCACACAAGAAAAAAAATTCGTGAAGTCTTCTCAGTAATTAGTCGGTTTCAATAGTTATAAATTGTTCCTTCACACTAACAATCCAGCTTGAACATAATTATGCACTTCGAAAATTCTCGCAAAAATCACGCCTAATTAGATGTATTCAGATAATCTCCTTCTTAATAAGCGACTTTCTCCTAATAAAATTCATTTATTCATTGATTCATTCGTTGTGTTGCAGTGGCAGCTTATGTGTGAAAAATGATGACTGGTGAGCAAAATTTGATATTTCAAGTATTTCCATTTTATCATTTGAGCATCGGTTGAGTTTCACTTATTATCGATTAATCTGAAATAGGAGTGCTGAATATTAATTGTGAAGAGTGATATAATACAGATGATGAGACAGAGAGGGGGAAAAATTCCTCTACGATGATGCTGAATGATGTTGATATACAACTAATCAGCTGAAGCATCGTCTATCGATTGTAACGTGATTGGATATCCTCGAGAAGGGACCTTTGCAAATAGTATCACAGTGTGTGAGAGACAGATTCCTCTATATTTGTCAAGAAAATGAGAACATGGACTAGCTTGATCACTCTGATGTATGTTGTCATTCGTTCTGCAACCAATTCAATAATCAGAAAACAGTCTATTTTAAATTTCTTGTTAAGTGGCATAGTGATTATTTTATTCCATTTCTCTATAGGTAGGTGATCACAAAGTTCACTGATTTCAGTGAAATTTATGCATGAACGTTACTCATTACTGTTAACTTGATAAGCAGTTTTCTGTTATAAATAAAGAAAAACATGACTTCTTAATCACTTCGTTGTTACTTTGTAATTTGAGAAGCACTGAAGCGATTCTGAATACGATATATATATATTACTGTGCGATAGGTGTTGTTCAGTTGTTGCGAAGACAAATGTCAGGAGATTAAGTGATAGACGTCAGTCTTAGTGAGTGGAATTTCAAAAGGAATTGCATTATATTCAAGCGTTCTGTTCGTTTTTGATGAGTGTCCGGTTGAGTTCAACTTGACAGCAAAATTGAGTTGGTCGAACATTTCAAGTATTCTCGAGACGTAATTCACACAATCTCACTCCCTCCTGATTTCTGTTTCAATCATTTAGATTGCAGGTGTTAAGTGTTCGTTGATTTTATTCGCAAAGATTTGTTGATCAGTCGCTCAATTAAACTGACTGTATTGCGTTTTGTTTTGAGTCTGTTCCACTCTGTCGTTAAGTTTCATGCAGGTGAGCGCACTGTAAAGACACCGAAATTTTCGCTATTATTAATAGATTGGATATTCAGTTGTGTTCGGTCGCCAGTGTACAGAAGTTTCAAAATAAACCGTGCAAACGAACAGATGAGGTGGCAGTCGAATCCCAAAAATTCGAATTACTAGCGGATACAGTTATGGATGGCAGGGAAATTAAGGCTATCAGAACGACTTTTCTTTTTCTTATATTACGATAATAGAGATGTGTGGATGACACACTCACTTTGTTAAAATCTGAACTTACATCTGTTTTTTCCAAAGTATTTTCATAAAAATAAATTGCGTAGTAGATAAAATGTAGTTAGGAAATCAACTGGATAAATAATCTATGTGGCATTGCTAGACACAACTGGAATGACATCGTGGAGTACGTATTAGCATCTTTACAATACTGCACCGATAATTAACACAGATATGTTTAGTTCCCTGCCTAAATCCTACTCTTACATTAATCGTTGGTTAAGTCACTGTGGTCTCGGAAAAGAAAATTTCATAAGACTATTTAATGTATAAGAAATACTTTTTCTTGATAGATATTTCTGACTGTAGTGAGGTGGTTTTAAGAAAATTCAAACTTTTATGAGGGAAGTGCCTCCATAATATCAGCGGATTAGCCATCTCCCCACAGGCTATTTCACATGCTCATTTACACACAGGTTTGATTCAATGAACCTGTTCGATTTATCCATCATGAAAGACCACCCATAGATGCGATTGAACAGCCTGTTAATAAAGTATTAGGAAAGAGCCATTCACCTAATACAATAAACGACAAGAATGTCTTCTCATTTTTCAACAGTCTTTCTTGTGTGAAATGTATTCCAGATGGTTATTATGTGAATTATGTGAACTAGAGACTCAGCTTGATGGACAATATCTCATGCAAGGAAAACTATAAATCAAATTAAAAACGTCTAAGAAAACAAGAGTTGCAAAAAGACCACAGGTCAAGTTAAATACTCAAAAACTGGAGGATGAGGTCACAAAGGACATCTTCACTTCATTCTTTAGGAACGATGCGAAGCCGCAAATCAACACTGGCGAGGTGACCAGCGTTAGAAAGCACCGGAAGAGCTTGAAAGCTGAGTGAAGTCAAACCTGCATGGAAGTCCTAGGCAGACAGAAGAGATATAACAGACTGTAGCTCACTGCAGACACATGGAGACTAATAGAAGATAGCAGAATGGTGAAAAAAAGGATTATCCAGTGTATTGACAAGCAATGAAAAGACGAGTTGAATGCAAGCTACACTACACTGAGCAGAAGAGTAAAGAAAAGTGCCAGGGAAGAAAAAATATAATATTATGAAAATATGGCAAGTGAAGCTAAACAAGCTGCAGGCATGATAAACCATCCAGCACTCCACCGAGCAACTAGGTTCCCATCGGATTTCAATATTAAAAATAACATTCAACACATAACATATTTGTCATTGTTGTTTTGAGAATTATATTTTTTGAAAACACTGAGATGACAGTTCAAACGGTTTGACTACAATAGGTAAGATGTATGAGTTAACAAATTGTAGAAGCAGAGGTTGAGTAATCCCAGATAGTAACGGTTTCTTGATGTAGTAGCTTAGACGGAACACTTAGTTATAGATCAAAGCAAAATATTCTTATCCACGTCTCCTTGCTTACTGTTTAGTGACTATATCAGATAGTTTTTAATATAAAGTAGCGATCATCCTTGAATCCTGTAAAAGACTACAGGTTAAATTTTCACACAATAGAGGTGAACGATTAAATCAACCTGTTAGTTTTAGATGGAAAGTGGAGTTCTGACACAAATATCGTCTAATTGACACAAGTATAATATAGCATAATACATCATCAGTAGACAAAACTGCAATAATAGCCCTCATATATCAAAAAATTATGATTTTTGGATTGACAGTTCTCAGCGTATGTGAATTGACCGGAATTCGAAGATGACCTAATGGCCACAGTGACCAATCATGCGCTGAATGTGTCAGGATTATTCAGTCCAAAATCATTTCCTATGCAGATAACCAATGCAGATTAGTATTCTCAACAAATTAGTGTACATGCCACCAGTTCTGTTGAATAGCACATCTGCAAACGATCGGAAAACGTGTAGTGAAGCAACAGTTAATTCACTAAGAATAACTTCGAGATACATAAGAGGAACGTCGAAACCTGGTCGTCTAAATAAAAACAAACATAAGAGCACCACAAGGTTTTGCTTCACTAGTATTGGATGTAAATTGAAACCGCCTTTATCAGGGTAATCAAACATAAAATAATCCATAATTGTTTTATTTCCTACAGGTGTAAGGTTAGTACCCTCTAAAGTTTGGCAGATATTGTTTGTCACCACAACACACACAGATTCAGTGCTCGAAAGCCAAGTAATCAAATTGAGTTGCACACATTCCTGGCGGAAACTACCAGAGAAAAAAGAGTTTCATGTATGCGTTCAAGTTATTTTTGATCACCTATAAAGGCATTCTCATTAACATAATATAGTTGAGAATACCTAAACAGCATCCCTGTTAATTCTGAAAATCATATCTGTATGAGTGGTAAATGAGAAGTGAAAATTCTGATATCCTGAGATTGTAAATTTAATAGATTGCAAATTTTCCCAGGAATAACTGATTTCTATTAACGTGAAACTTCCTGACATCTGAAATTAGAACATCTTCCAGATTGCCGATTAAGTTCGTTGTTCCGTTTAATGAATGAATACGCATTGCATTGGATGACACGTATATTGAGCAATGTATAAATACAATGTGTTCATTCAAAAATATTTCCTCACGTAGAAACACTAAGCGGAATCGCGGAAACTATTGAATTGTGAAGTGCGGTTACTTCACCAACCTGATAATCCAACAAGAGATTTTTTCCAATAACAATTCAGTTTCTTACTGTGATAACATTGGAATTAGATCAGCAACCACCATCACCTATTCCAATTGTTTGAGAATTCTCACACAAAGAGACACTATATTTTTCCTGCAACCAGGAATCATCAATCACAAACTGAATGGATACATTTTTACTATACGGCTATTTGAACTAAGTGAAGAAAGTAGCATTATGCCTCATTTTCACGTTGAACACAAATATTGACTGCATGTTTGTTTGCTCACTCTATACTGAAACTACAATGAAACCAACGATATAAAACCCAAAGTTGAACGTTGGAACATTCAAACAAGTGTTTAAGTGACATGAAGCACATTCACAAGATACGTTTGAAAAATAATATGAACACTATTCTTTGTAAATTTGCACCCTAAGTCCTCTTGATTCTTCCTTTAACAAACACATGTTAACGAATCTAGAGAATTGAGTGATACAATCCTCCATGTGGGCTGGCAAACTCTCGCAGAGTAAACTGAGATTGTTCCACAATATGGCGTTATTTATTGACATTTTAAGCGGTTAGTTTTTAATTTAGCCACAACATTCGATAGATAATTTCTTCTTATACTGCAGTCTTAGATGTCTTCTATGTGAATTTCGTCATCTGAGAATATCAGTGAGAAATGCAAATGAAACTGGGTGACCATGCATATGGTCCGGGGTTCGAGCCCACGCCGACGCACACCTGATATCTATGGTCGGCCTGCAAAATTTGGTCTACCGATATCCACGCTGAAAATTCCATACTTGTACCAAAAATACAGTGTGGAATCAAGCTGTTACCGAAAATAAAAAAAATAAATAAATAATGATGTCACTTGGAGTCGAGTGGACGACCGAAGCCAAGCCAATTAACAAGTTAGCTATTTTGGCCAAGACTCCACCGACCTGTTGATTATTACTTTGTTAATTTGTATTATAACGCTAGCCTCATCAATGTATTCTGATGGTGCTGACTTCACCATGACATAGTGGATCTCACTGCTTTTCCATGATCTCTAATTAATATTAGTCTGTCACGAAATCTACTTTGACATTAATCCACAAAAGATATAGAAATCCGAAATGAAGTATTTTTATGTTCAATCACTTTAGAAATGATCACATCGATAAAATAAGGCTGTATCTTCGGATGATTCACATCCACCTACTCCACATTCTTGAGAGCACAAATATATTCTGTCAATGTTTCAACTCTTGTGCTCACTATCTGATCACCCTTGTCCTCGTCATCAGAAAATCATCATTATGGCAGCATGATAAGTCTATCTCATTATTATAATTTTGGAAATTTGCAGCGATTCAGTGGCAGTTATATAGACAAACGATATAATTTCAAGATGGTCAATGAACATTCACAGAGTTGTATATCCGAATAATAATAAGCATAGAGGCACAGTGATATTTAAGATAACGGTACACTCAATGAAGACAACCTCGAGAGGGTCAAAATGATTTGCATTATCACCTGAAATCAATCATCTAGGCAGAAATAAAGGATTCGCACTCACAGTTTGCAAAATAATCATGTAGCTTTACCACCAACCAATTT